ATTAAAGTACAAATTAAACAAATCGATTGTAATTAACCAAATAATGACATAATTCAAAACGAGTGAGGCACATCACTCGATCTTAATCATGGTCACGTGACCACCCCATCAAGAACCACCACACATGATTGATATTTTTTTTTGGGCATATATTATATGGTACTAGTGGTATGAACATGTGGTGGCCTCCACAAATCATAGTGCACTCTTTTAACCAATTAGTAGTATTAATTATGATGCCCCGGGTCCAAGGACCGTGGATACGTGGATGTGGAATCCCCCAAAAAACAATTAGTGGTGTCCAATGACCAAATTACCCTTTGTTTGTTAATAATTAGATGACTAATGAAGGGCATTATTGTCATTGCGAAATCATTTAAAATATAAGGTGGGTTTAAGATTTGAGAGGATTTTATTATGTAATGGGGGCATGGTAAGTGGGGAACAAGCTTTATTTATTAAGTCTCCGAAATTGATGAAGTTTTTGACTGGGGGAAAATTTACGAAGATGCCACTGAAGAGTTAATTCTACTTTTTGACTCGAGGTTTGAAAATGTTTGCTTCCTTTTCACACTGAATTAATTTCGCATTAAATGGAAAACCAAACGCGGCCTTCTACAACAAACGAGAAGGCTTCAGACTTCGGACGGTACTTTACGTCTTTCTTTTCTATCGATTAACTTAAAAGAAGTGTTTCGATTATTAATTATTTAAATAATTTAATGATTATTTTTTTATTAAAAATAAAAAATTTTGAATTTGATTCATATCTCATGTGAATGAGATGGGTATTATTGTGTAAATCAGATAAAAAAATTTGATTGTAATATAATTTGAATTGTAAAATAATGTTAAATTTATTTAATTTGTGCATTTAATATATTAAATACATTTTTTTATAAATTTATATTGAAAAATAAAACTTAATATTTAATTTATCAACATGTTATACCCTCAATTATTAATATAATACATTTTTATATTAATTTATTATTATACTTTTTAATTTATTAAAAAACAAAAAATGTAAAATTTTTGAAAAAAAAGTATAATATAAATGTATAATAGGCTCTTATACTATAAATATATAGTATTAATTATTTAAGATGTGATAATAACTTCACTATTTATCAATTATTTAATTAAATTCATCTGACATTAAAATTAATATCAATTTTTATTTTTTTTATGTACATTTAGTGCAGAAAGGTACTCTCAACCTATGAGGACAAGTTAGAAAAATCCAAGTAGGTTATACCCTCAATTATTAATACAATACATTTTTATATTAATTGATATTATACTTTTTAATTTATTAAAAAACAAAAAATATAAAATTTTTGAGACAAAAGTATAATATAAATGTATAATAGGCTCTTACACTAAAAAAATGTAGTATTAATTATTTAAGGTACGAAAATAATCCTATCATTTATCAATTATTTAATTAAATTCATCTGACATTAAAATTAATATCAATTTATATATTTTTTTATGTACATTTAATGCAAAGAGGTACTCTTAACCTACGAGGACAAGTTAGAAAATCCAATAAAGATTGAGAAGAACTTATAATATTAAAGGATTCTTTTAGTTTATATCTTTAAAAAATAAGTTAAAAATACAATAAATATATTATTTTATAATTAATTTAAATAAAAATTAACTTAAATTTAATTAATTAACTAAATAAAATTATTCACATTACAATGATACTACAATAAAATTTAAATTGTCATTTTTTATGTAAATTATTATAAAAAATATATTTATTACACCTTTAACTTGTACTCTTAAACAAAACCAATATTAAAAAGGTCATTCCTCATTGAGAGTTAATGTTTTATAATCCAAAACAATTCATACTATTTTTCATTAAAAGAATAAGAAAATACTCTTGTTGTTTTGATAACTGAGAAGAGAGAAGCAAGAACGTCAAAAACTCGAATCTAAATTCCTAGGCAACAAGCAAGGTAAATTTCTTCACAGCACTTCAGTTCCCTTCCAAACAAAAACTAAATAAGTAGAGCAAGAGGAGCTTTAGATGATACAAACTGCCTGGGTCTAGAGCTTAGAAACAGAGAGTTCTGCCTCAAATGATTTATTACATTCTTCGATTTGTAAATGACAGAGAATGCAAACTTCAGATTGTGAATCACTCAAATTGACTACCTAACCATTGGTATGAAAGCTGTTAAGCGTGTGTGGTGAAAAAAAATCATCTATTGGAGGAACTACATATATTGGATAAACTAAAATAGACTACATTTTTTGTTACAAAATCAACATCACCATGAAAAGGGGCTTGCTCCCTGCAAAAAGATCTCATTTTCCACATCTTTCACCCATTGACAAACCCGGTTGCAAGTATTTATCGCTGCAACCTGTGCATTCAAATCAAGGAAAACCTAAAACCCTTTGCAGAGAAGTTTATTCTGTAGGTATTGAAACCTTTACTTGAATAAGATAAAGAACTGAGAAGAGTGCAAAAAGCAAACCTTATCAGCTAGTGGATCAAATGCTGCATAGAATTCAAAATCTTGGGTGACCCAGCAGAGTAAAACTGCCACATCAAAAGGATTATATAAATTCCCCCGGGGAACCCTTTCCAATAGAAAAACTAGCAGTTATATAGAGGTGCCGTTCATTTGCTGGCCAACTTAAATGAGAAAAATTATAGATTGGACACCAGAAAACTTAATAAATGTAACTTTTACCTGTCATTCTTATATTTAAGATGTCAACAGACTGAAATACTTACCATAATTTTCATCTCTTCTAAACTGGGTTTTGTGGGACCCTATTACTTTATCATGCATGGAAGCATAGAGTTTCTGGTAGGCTCTATATAACCTGCAAATGAAGAAATTAGTTATGTCTTTCAATGGTAACAAAGCCAACAAAGAGAAAAAAAAATCTATCAACATGAAATAGTTATCAATACAAGTCAGAAGAATATTCACAGCGGTACCTTTTCTGTTGTTGGGCAGTGATAAGGGGAGGTGAGAACTCTGAGGATACATATTGATCCAGATATATGCTACGATAAATAAAATGCCAAAGTCCATCAGGGCCACCAATGCGAACGACTGGGTCCCTAACTCTCTCCGGAGAATCTGTTGGGGGCCTGTACTGTCCTAGATGAGGAGATGATCCTGATCGAAGCAATGCATCAGCAGATAAATCCTCCACACGCATCCCACCATCTATTATGGATCTTTGAACTTCACTAAGAACATTGGACTTCAAAAGAACCATTTCTATACGTGACCTAAATAATTGCAGCCAAAATTTGTCAGCAGTCTAACAAGGAAGAAAATAGTGCACTTTTATCTGCACAGCAAGTTAACACGTTTTCCATTTTAAGCCATTGATAGAACAACATTTCCATTCATTCTTATCACCTGACCAACTTATTGTGTCACCAAAGATGCATGGTCAACAGATTTAAGGAGGAAGGTCACATCACTAAGTCACTGGGGCCCTATAAATCACACTCGGAAAAGCAATGTTTACCTGCAATCTTTAAGATGGTGGAAAGCATCTGAACTAGTAGTAAGCAACATCAAATATGTATCAAACTGCACATTAAAGTAGATTTATCATCCATGTGCTCTACATGTCATGACTAACATAGAGCAAAAATAAATATTCTGAACCAAGTCCTACTCACATCAAGATAATGGACATAAGCATAGAGAAATGCCATGGGATTATATCTTGGTAAGCAAATTGGTGAGAAAGATTCGGATGTCCTGCATAAAGCATAAAGAACTCATAAGAACTGAAATTTCAAAAAACCAATCAGATAAATACAAATATAAAGACCAGTTCAACATCAAGCAAGCTTAAGTCAAAATATATAAAACATTAATATCTTTAATGTTTATTCTACTTGCCTAAATGACTCTGATGACATTACAAAGTTTGAAAGTAGCAACATATCATCTGGGTGAAGTGAGGCTTTTTGTGCACCAACAAGACTAACAACCTGAAATAAGCTTCAAATCATAAAAATTGTCTGAGAGGAAATAGTGTCTTGCACAACTAAACAAGAACATGATCATGACAACAAATTTTCCAGTGACAACTTATATGGCCAAAGTAAATAAATAATAAATAAATAGGACTAGGCAGCTTTACCTTGTGTTTACACATCAGTATTGCAAACAGAACACCAGAATCAGCCACATCTTGCAATATAGCACCTGCTGCTTGCCTTGTTGCATAAGCAAGAGGAAGACAAGTATATGCATGAAGAAATGTAGCCGGGTTCCTGAAAGTGTACAAAGAAATAATCAGTGAGAAATTATTATGGTTGCCATCTGGGTCACTATGAAATTAATGGTTGTAAAAAAAAGAAAAAGAAGAAGAAAGCAGAAATGGAATATTGGGGCTCCAATTTATAACTGAGAAAAAAAAAAGGGTCTCAAGTAAAACAAACTAAGTTAAACAGTCAGAGGCTTTTTAACTAACGTTTGACAGAAGAACAGGTTACCCTCATTTATTTTTTGAAAAAAAAAAAATCATAATCAATGCTGACAACACTACCTCTCTCTCTCTGTTTCTCCTCATCAAAACCTAGGTTGGTTGACCCAAAGAGTGAGACTGGAGCATGGGCAGAGAGAGAGAAATGTCCAACATTATTAAATAAATGTAAGGAGCAAAGAGACGCACCAACTGAAAGAATGGATGAGAGATGAGAAAACAACATCTGTTCCTCCAAGCAAAGGTGTCATATCAAACTTAGGATTCTTCTCGAAGCATCTGTTTATGGACTTTGTTAAGATAAGTATCATCTGCATCCATTTTGCAATCAATTAAATAACGAGTAGGGGACTTACATCACCGTGAGAAGAACTTGGTTTATTATTATTTTAAGCAAAATAAATTTATGATGATATATATGCTTGCAAGGAAGTAAATGTTACAGTTGAGTAACAGGCATGGACAATCAAATTAATTGATCGAAAACACTGAGAATGTGAGAGTGCTACCTGATCATAAATAAGCTCCAATTGGCCCCTTAATGATTCGTAGGGTTCCTCTGTGCAACTGATGCAAACTAAGTAAATTGGTCCCTTAACAAGAAAGACCACCTGGGCACATGGAATTTTGTCAGTGTCTCATTAGACTGATTAAAAAGCCAAGAAACGTGGACTTTGCAAGATCCCAAAGCAGAATATTAGTTGCTGACAGAAGGAAGAGAAATAAATGTGCTTTCGTTCAATTAGAGACTATCCTCAGCTATGGTTAGAGCAACCACCAAGAAGATAACTAAATTCAATGTTTGCTGCAATTAACTTGCAGCTTCTTGTTGTTATATTTTCGAAGTATTTCACATGTAAGATTGAATGGTCAAGAGGATGAAAAGGCAGTTCTAATTTGTGTATTTGTTATCAAGTTGAAAACTCAAAGTGCATAAAATTTTAACTCCAGAAAAGAGAAAAATATAAACATACCTGGTGCTTTCCTGCTCTAACCAAATTGATATTATCTCCCCTAGAAAGAAATAAAAGAGAAAAACTAATTATGATGTTTGTAGAGTTGAATTTGAAGAGGCAATCAGCCCATGAAACAGCAGAAAATATAGAGTATTCAGTTGTAAAAAATTGTAAGCTACATAGAGCATGGTACCCATTCTCCACAAAAGAAACAATGGCTTGCAGTGTTGCTGAGAAACCTGCAAGCTTGTGCTCATCCCCATATCTGGAATCAAAGAGAGATGGGGGGTATCATGTTTGTAATTGAACCAACCATATAAATTGTGCACTTGAGCAGGGATAAATAAAGGTACCAGTGACAAACCTGGAATATATTGGTTTGCCAGAATTACTTAAAATAAAGAAGTGCTTCTTCCTCTTTCTCCATGATATAGAACCATCATCCTGCACTTCAATAAAGCTGGGAAATTCACTTCAATCCTAGTGACTTGTATCTTTAACCAGCTAAACAGTATAAAGCCAAATACATGGCCCCGTGATCATATCAAAATCACATTAAAACAGTATAATTGTTCAAACATCAGGTTCTTCCATTATCCCTTAACAACCAAGTTATTCTATATCCACAAACTGCAGCTTGAAAAGATATATACTGATACTACTATCAGGTCATGACGATGCCACATTCCAAACCCCATGAGCATTTCCATAGCTATCATTAAATTCTAAATTCTTCAGAGTGCATTAGCAATCTCCACTATGTACGATAACTTTAAAAGCATGCACACAATTTTATCAATTCTAAACTCACCTCATCAACATGCCGTTTTCCGGGGATCCACGATCCCTGGAAATCTGACACTCCACCAAGGGAACCATCATTCCTCACTTCCTGTATCTCACCAGAAACATCACTCATCTCGTCCATTCTGGACGCGCTTGTGGCACTGCTACTCCCCCTCTCACCAGCGTATCCACTGCTGCTGGGACTCGGCAGTCCTTCTTCCATTTCCACCTCCGAATTCTCCCTCTCCCACACCACTCCCCCACTATCAACTCCTCCTTGCTCCACGCTACCCGCAACCTCCTCAGCATCACCTTCCCGACTCACAATTTGGCGGCTGTCGTCGTCGTTGGTCTCTTGATTCAATGTGCCATTGGTGATCTCATTCTCAGTTTCCTGATGATTACTCGCCAATACAACAGGTTCAGCCAACGACAGAGATTCGAAATGTTGTTCGATGGGTGTGGGATTGGAATTCCGGTCGGCAGTGTCGTCGCCGGAGGAAGACGAAGAAGAGGTAGAACGGGATGACATTTGAGAATCAAATCATCCAGAACGAGTGGTACCGAGGTTTCCGATGGTGGGGAATCAGGAGATAGGGATTTTCAGAGGAAAAAATTAGGGATTTTGCTTAATTCAGGCCCGACATGGGCCTCCTTCCACCTACCAGTCGTCGGCTCTGTGAAGATCCTCGGCGTGGATGTGTGGTGCTGACCAGTCGGTGTGCGGGCGCGGCAGTACTCTGGCCCGAACCGGTTTTATATCGAATCCGGATCCACTTTT